CTCTCTCTCTCTCTCTCTCTCTCTCTCTCTCTCTCTCTCTCTCTCTCTCTCTCTTTCTCTCTCTCTCTCTCTCTCTCTCTCTCTCTGTGTGTGTACCTGGTCGTTATCGGCGCCAGATTTAGGCGCATAAGCTGTTGTCCAGACTGTCGAGGCTCAGCCTCCTGACGAGTCGGTGAGATTCCCATGAAACAACCTGGCGCAGAGCTACCTGTTCGTTCAAAGCGAACGGGTACCCAACAAACTTAAAAAAAAAAGAAAAAGAAGACAAAAAGGAACAAAAAAAAACAAAAGAAGAAATATAAACCAAATCTAAGAAAAGAAAATCTAAGATCAAAAGAAAACTCTAAAAACAATTAAAATAAAAAAACTAACTTACCTGAGACGAAACGGCTGCCCGTTGAAAATGGGCGCCCTCTGAAACTGCTGAGGACTACAGTCCTCAGCCTTCGTTTCCTGGGTGCCATCGGGCGCCGCCATATTAAGGTCGTTGGCTTATGCCAACGGCAAGGGTCTTGTTAAAATACAGACCAGAGTTCGATTCCCTGCGGGGAATCGAAAAAAATTCGGACCATTTCTCGATTTATGCGTGTCATCCTTGCGCAGGGGCAATGCTAATCTTCGCGCGCCTGATCTGGGCCGCGCGATCTCTTCGATCGGACGGCCAGATCAGATCGCGCCGGCATAAAATAACCACGGCCAGCTCCAAAAAGGAGCTAGCCCAGTGGTATATATAGTATCTCAGATTCGATCCCGGTATCTGCCGGGTGATTGTTGAGTGGGTTATCCTACTGGACTAGCTCCTGTTTCACACTAAACAAGAGCTGCTCTTCAATATGAAGAGCTTAGCCCAAGTAACATCCCTGCCTGCGACTTTGCAGGCTCCGCCCATAAGTGGCCTAGCAGGCCTGCCCCGACTGTGGCCTAGCAGGGCTGCCCTGCCTGTGGCCTGCCGGCATTCCTGCCCGTGGCCTACCCATACCGGTTAGCCGCGTGACCGCGGCTTGGTCGGCCATTGAACCGGGTAAGCCTTGGCATTTGCCTATCGGCCCCCAGGCTCGAAGTCAGACGTCGTGGCCCTCGAGAAAACAAAAGCTTCCTGCACCTCCTGCGTCGTTGCCCTATACCCGGCGCAACCCTCTTTTTAGCCCACTTAGGCCCTAAATCGCGCGGCGTAGCAGCCGCACGACATTGCTTTAGGTAGACTAGGTGTAACTCTAGTCTTTCCATGACTGCACACTACTGAGGCCTTGTCGAAAAAACCCGCGAATGACAGTGCTGACTCCCGCTATCCGGCGCGGACGTCGATGTCGCCTTGCGTTGACGATGTCAGGTTCTAAAAAGGTTTAGGTCTCTCAGTCATAGCGCTAGTCTGAATAAACGTTTGGCAAACGTCAGTCTCATCAAGTCCTTCAATTCAACGCAAGAGTCGGACAACGTCCGACGTTTCAAAACACCGGCAAATACCCTTGTCAGGGTTTTTGCCCCGACACCGGCAAGTCAGAATAACAGGATACATCATAAGTACTCACCCACACTTCCTTCCATAAGGTCGAAGGGCCCCTGACCAGCATTGATTACTCCAACATCATGGAGGACTGACTGTCAGCTTGCCCTGCTTCATCCTTTCCTCTCAGGTCTACTGCAAAAACCTGTCGTATAAAGCATGAGTAGCGAGAAAGGTCCTAGAAGCTGCCCAAAGCTGCCAATTTTGCCTAAACTATAAATCCCCCATGTGAGCCACATGAAAACTCTGCTACTCTGAACCCTGTTTGCCCTAATTCTGTCCAAACCCTTAACCCTAAACCCTCAACTATAGTTTTTATTTTCCAGAAACATAAACTCCAAATCTTTTCCGAGCATTTCTTGATGTTCCCTGAAGCAACTTAAACTGTCAGCTCAAGGTGCCTGTGTTGGGCCTTAGTCGCTTGGTATCTGGAACACTTGTCTTCTCCCCTCTGTTTCCTAATTGTGCCTGTCTCTCCATTGATTGCAGAAATCCTCCGGCCCTGCCACCTTACCCACAGCGGTCTCCGCTTTACTTTTTTTTAAGGTCTACCGTGAAAACCTGTCATATAAAGCATGACTAGCGAGAAAGGTCCCAGAAGCTGCCAAAGCTGCCAATTTTGTGTAAACTGTAAATCCATCATGTGAGCCACATGAAAAATCTGCTATTCTGCTATTCTGAACCCTGTTTGCCCTAATCCTGACCAGACCCTAAACCCTAAACCCTCAACTGTAGGTTCTCTCCTCCCTCTGTCCTAAACTTTCATTTCTCCCCTAATGTTGGCTTCCGAACCCATAACCCATATTCGATGTACCTTACTACCCTCTTCGCTTATCGTTCCTTGCCTGGCCTCGCTTTAATTCTTATGGCATCCTCAGTTCCTGTGTCAAAGGTTGATCATCTATAGTCTCCTCCTGACGCTCCTCTTTGAATGAACATAACATCTTCAATTAGAAGAAAGTGAGAAAAAACAAAGAGCATAACTGTAGTAATAAAGTGCCTAAAAGCAGCTGTAATAATAAAGTGACTAAAGGCAAAAGACAGACAGACAACTAATAAATAGTTCACAAGCGGTCCCATTTTTATTTTTTTTCAAGAATTATCATTTATGATTTATACTTATATATTAACAATTGCAAGAGGAGGCTGGGAATCCCTCCACATCACAACCCAGTGCACTGGGGCCATAACCCAGCGGTCCCATTCATTTGTACTTTTTTATTTCTTATTTTTATAAAGAAAATAGCATGATTTCATTATATGAGCAAAAGGAGGCCGGGAATGCCTCCGCATCTCAACCCGGGGTACTGGCGCCAATACCCAGCTTAGGCTCATACTGGAAAACGGGTCCAGTGTCCCATGCTTCAAAGTCCCATCATGCTATTCAGAGCAAAATATAGAAACTTGAGCAACGAAAGTACCAACAGCAGAAAGGAGAAAAAAACAAGGGCAGAAGAATAGGAGTTAAGGTCTAGGAGAGAGAGGAAGACGGGGACCCAGAGGTCCCATTCAAATTTTCTTATATTAGACTTTGCTGGAAAAAAAGTTGAGAGATGATAATAATATGATTTAATATCATAATATGCTATTATGCATAGTACTTTTTGAAAGAATTTCCGACTCTTGAACAAGTTCTCTCATTAGTTGTAAAAAATGCGGACATTGGTCTATTCTCCTCTGTGCACCGTCTTTCAGCTGTTCTGTCCTGATGCGTAGTACGTGGTGAGCATTGCTGACAGCAAAAGCCCTCTATCGGGTTTGTGGATCTAGTGGTGGGTGTGAGCTGTTTCTGTCGAACCTAGCATGACGGCATCAAAAGGCCTTTATGGGGTTTGCGAATCATGAAGGAGTCTCTTGAAGCAGGATATAAAGAAAGTTGAGTGAAAGCTAAGGTGTTGAACTGTGACAAAGGGATGCTCCGCTCCCAATGGTTATTTCATATATACCTCAGGCATGCATCACGGATCAGCTTCTCTTGCCTCGAGTCCAATGGTGTTGCCTCTTTCTCTGCAGCATTCTGCAAGCTGGAACAAAGTCATCACAACAAAGTGGGAAGGGAACCAGGAGCAGCAATGGGAGGACCAGGAGACCATAAGGAAGAGGGGAATGTAAGGAGGAGAAGCAGAATGACATAGACGAGGAGAAACATTTCTACAAGTAGCACGAAGAGGAGGAGAAAGATGAGAATATGATAAGACACAGGAGAGGAATGGAAAGGAAGAGGAAGAGGAGGAGGAAGAGGAGGAAGAGGACGAGGAGGAGAAGGTGGTGGTGGTGGTGGTGGTGGTGGTGGTGGTGGTGGTGGAGGAGGAGGAGGAGGTAAGGAAGAGGAGCATGATGACGAGGACAAAAGCAAAAGAGGTTGACATGCAATTGGCAAAGACACAGCATTCCTGAGATGCAAAGCACGAAGCCAAGCATATCATTCGATGTCAAAAGTTGAGATCGATTACTGCAGCACCAACTCAATGAGGGACACAAATTCACACAGCACCCCCATGTGTTTCACCCGTCGGCACGGACTTTTTAGGCGTAGACCACTGACTTTTGCCCTTGGCTACACCAATCGGCCGCTATCCTTTGTTGTCGGGTTTGTTTTGCCCGTTTGCCCGTCGCCAACGGCTCTTCAGAGGGGTGACCACTGACGCTTAACTGCATCAAATGGCTGCTATACTGTGTCGTCACATTTGCATACACGATGCATATGAAAGGGACCTGATCATTTGAAGCATCTTGTATGCCATATTTAGCTTGGTAACTCCAGCGGATGAAATTACGATGGTGGGGAAAGAAGCAGGAGTTCAGTGCCAAAGGAGGAGGAGGAGGAGGGGGGGGAGGAGGAGGAGAAAAGTTGAGCGGAGCAAACAGATTATAAGGACGAAGAAGCGGGCAAGTGAAAGCAGAAGGATGGGCGTCATGATGATGAGCATAAGAGCAGGAGAGAATGACAAGGAGGAGTCAAGGGGAAGAGGAGGAGGAGGGCAAGGAGGAGAAGTGGAAGCACAATGATGAGGCGAACGAGCAAGAGGTGGGCAAGGAGCAGGGCTAGGAATGGCAGGGATGACAATTGGAAGCAAGGGAGAAATGACAAGGAGGAGGGGAAAGAGGAGAAGGATGAGGCAGGCGAGGAATACGGAGGAGGAGGAGGAGGAGGAGGAGGAGGAGGAGGAACAGACCATATCCGAATATCTGGCAGAGGGGCTGTTGACTTACGTGTACTCATAGACCACGCCCCCAGCCGCAATGAAACGATAGGCCTGTCCTCCATGGTTGAAAGCTGGCTGTGCGCAAGCAAAGATCCAATAAGACGTGTCAAGTGGTCAAGGAGGCACAGCAAACACAGCAGGACACACATGGACTTATGTGTCCTTAGAAAACACAGCAAACCAGTCTCATATTTGGGACTCTCAGCAATCAGGTCAAGACTCAAAAGGCAGCACCTTCTCAGAACACCACAGACTTCTCACACTGCGATTGTGTGGGTCATTGGATAAGCCAAATTTTTTTACCTTTATCATCTCATTGTTGTCGGCCTTGTGGCACACACACAACCCATACGGGCCCTCCAGGCCAAACATTGCCCCAGCACGGGCCCTGGGCCTCAGACATCCCATTTTTGGGCAGTCCCAGGTCCGCGGCCATCTTTTTCCGCCTCGCTGAGGCCAGGGAGGTGGTTTCGCGGGGAGTGCGTTTGGTGGTTTTGCGGGGTGTGCGTTTTTTCAACTTTTTTTTTTGAGTGTTTGTTTATTTCTCTGAGATCTTATTACTAGATTTCAGGGTATTTTTTTGTCTGTTCCAGGGTTTGCCTGGTCTGGAATGTGTCCTGCCTGAACAGGCACTTTCGGCCTGTTTGGACTGGCTGGGCCAGTTTCAGGTCCAGCTGAGTTTGTTAGTAGCTGGGCTGGACCAGGTTTGTTTTCTAGTGCCTGGCCCAGACCTTGTCTTTTTTAGACATCCCTGCTGCAGCAGCAGGGGAGCGTGGACGTCTGGTAGGGACTCAGGCAGGCCATTTTGAGGCCAGCTCACTAGGACCAGCACTTGGGCCTGCATCCTAGACCATCGATCAGAGATCCGATTGGATTGCCTAGGACACAGGCCGATGCCTCTCCCAGCAGGCCCAGTAGTATATAGCTGGGCCTGGTGTGTAGGAGGTGAGTAGCAAAGTAGAGGCGAGGTTCTCAGCCGCAGCGCATTGTCAGAGCACTCAACTGGGTGTCATAGCTTGGGTCTTCTACACCGGCTGTAACCAGCCTTCCACCTGCAGCACAGGACAGCTCAAGACTTCATCTTTCGCTGGTCACTATTCTGGTCGAGAGAGAGAGAGAGAGAGAGAGAGAGAGAGAGAGAGAGAGAGAGAGAGAGAGAGAGAGAGAGAGAGAGAGAGAGAGAGAGAGAGAGANAGAGAGAGAGAGAGAGAGAGAGAGAGAGAGAGAGAGAGAGAGAGAGAGAGAGAGAGAGAGAGAGAGAGAGAGAGAGAGCATTCCTCGTTCGGGGTGCCTGCAGCACTCTTAGGGGGGACGCGCAGTTCGGGACGAATGTCTGCCCTACGGGTGATAACAGACATTCGTCGGAGTGACTCCCTAGCTCAGTGGGTGGTGGGGACCAACAGTCTGCGGTGTTCACCCGTGATGTGAGTAGGTGATGTGCCGCTTTGCTCCGTGTTGGATGTGGGGACTGCCTCGTCTGCACTCCGCCGCTGCCTTCCTGCCCATTCCACTTGCTTCACAGGTCGTTCTTGGCAAGCTGCTGTGTTCGCTATGTTGTTATGAATTTGGTTGTCTCAACTTGTCTGTCGATTTCGATCAACACTAAGATTGCCTATCTGAGGCCAGCGCCAACTACCAAGATGCAGAACAAGACCAGCGATGAAGTCCTCAGTGCCGAAGTAGGTACTCTGACGACGAGAGCTGCAGCTATGGCTGCAGCGCCACTGTGAATTTGGTTGTCTGTCGATTTCGATCAACACTCGCACTCAGACAACCAAATTCATAACAATGTGGTGCGCCTGTGTTGTTGTTGTTGCCTTGTGCTTCGCTGCTTCGCGGCTTTGCTGCCCATCCACAGGCCGTGCCTTCTGCGTCCTTTGCTTGTGTACCTTGAAGTTCGGTTGCCTTGTTGTGCTGCCTTGTGCATGGTTGCCGTGCTGCTCGTCCTCTTGGTGTCCTTTGCTTGCATACCTTGTAGTTCGGTTGCCTTGTTGTGCTGCCTTGTGCACGATTGCCGTGCTGCTCGTCCGCTCGCCCTGTCGTTCCTTCCCGTGTGGCTGTCTTGTTGGTGTTGACCTTGTGCTTCACTGCGTGGTTGCCGCATTGTGTATCTGCTTGCCATGTCATTCCTTGCAGTAGTCTTTGGCATTGAGCAGCCGCGTTGCATGCGCAGCGTTGCCTGGTGCTTCGCTGGGTTGCTGCCCGCTGCTGCGTTGCATTTGGGGACAGTCTGCCTTCAAGGCTTCAACAAGGGTCAAAGGGTTCATGACCCAAACCATCAGTACGGAGATTTTGCAGATTGTTGAGGGTTCAGCCTCCTGATGAGCCGGTGCAACTCCGACGAAGCAATCTTTGATCATGAGTGTTATTTTTTTCAGTCGTTGCGTTTCTTTTGGGACTTGTATTGAAGCCTTTGTCCCTTGTTGCTGCTGCATCCTACCCTTTGCCTTACTGTTGTTTGCTTGTCTTTCTTCTCGATTCAGCCTTGCTCTTTCAACTGCCGGGCCGAGCTCTTGACATGAGGACTTGGTTCATTGAACTTCATTCGAACGAAAGCATTCTTTCTTCTCGATTCAGGCTTGCTCTTTCAACTACCGGCCTGTCGCATACCGTAATGTTACAGACCAGAACAAGAACCGACCTCTCTCTCACATAGTACAGGATATCGCAGTGGAAGGTTAAAATACCAAAGATCAGACCAATCAATGTTGCAATGCAGACCAAACATACATCATCATCATCACATGGTGCGAAGGGGCCTGGCGCTCACACAGGAAGAATGCGCCAGTCCCCAACCATACACAGACGAAGAGGAGGGGGATCAGACAAAGAAGAGGGGGAAGATGGGAATGTCGTCAACACCAAGTCTTCGGTACAGGTCCCAAATAATCCCTCGTCCAATGTCTCGATCCCAATGTCGAGTCTGAATCCAAATGTCGTCAAATCTCAAGGTCGCAAATCTCTCTCTCCCTCTCTCTCTCTCGTAGTCTGTAGGTGCTGAGAAGTCAAGCAGCGAGAGGGTGAGGGAGAGATGGTGGACTTAGAGGAGGAAGAAGAAGAACTCTCTCTCTCTCACTCTCTCTCTCTCTCTCTCTCTCTCTCTCTCTCTCTCTCTCTCTCTCTCTC